AGCTCAGAAGGAGGTTCGCCGGTTTGCTGAATCAAGTGCTGTGGACCTAAATGGGCAGAAGAGGTTTAATATAGCTGAAAATAAGCTTGGGAACGTGGCATATGGTAGTCCATTCTCAGTGCAATCAGTAAACATGATGAACATGCCTTACTCTCTTCCTATGAAGGAGTCTAGCTCTGTTGGTGCCACCAGCACATCGGGCCATCCGATGCATGGAATGATGCAGGTTATGCCTACTGTGACTAGTGAGCGATCAGGGACTCAACCTGTGAATCCTGGAAACTTGCCAGTTTTGTTTGGCTATTCACCAGTCCAGCTCCCAATGTTGGATAAGGATAATTCTTGGGGTTTGGTTCCTCACACTCAACAATTCCATCCTTCCTATGCTGGCAGAAATCCACCAAGCTCAGGTAACTATATTTATGTATTGGAAATTCTAGGTGTCCTTTGTGCATGCTGAAAATGAACAGCTCATGGTTGAATTGCTGATCTTGACCAGTTTACTGTCTGTCACTGCCTTGTACCCTGCCTAATGCAAGGTCCACGACTTGAACTCTGAAAACGGTTCGAACTGGGATTACTTGTTTTTATTTAATGTGTTGAAGGCTTTGTGAACGAGTGACATGGTAATGGAAGGTTGGAGATGAGACTCGTGTCTATGATTCCTGCAAACAGATCTACATCAATGCATGTATTTTTCTTAAGAAACCATGGGAACCGCCTCTAATTTTATTCTTCTCAAGCTTTGCCTTACCTTTGGTACTTGATTTATAAAAAAATTATAATTTAAAAAAAAAAAAATTGCCTTTCTATTGTTCTTGTACAAGTTTCTGATTCTACTGATCTTTTTAGTGCTGAAACTCATAGTATTGCTTCAGTAGATGAAGAAGACCCCTCTGTTTCTTTCTCACCCTTCTTGTATTGACGCAGCTGGGATGCAAGTAATTTCACATAATTCATCTGACGTAGCACAATATGATGGGAGGATTTTAGAACGTGGCAGAGGCGATGGCAAACAGAATGTCACTGAAGAGGGCTCCTCTTCTCAGGCAGAAGAAGACATGAAAGTAAGCAGCACGAACCTCAGGATAAAAGAAGCACCTGACCGCTCAACGGCAGAGGACTTCTCTCTTGATTTTTCAGCTATAAAACCAGGTATTGCTGCAGACATAAAATTTGGGGGATCTGGTTCCCGCCCAAATCTGCCATGGGTTTCTACCAAAGGTCCAGGCCCGAACGGCAGGACAATTTCTGGTGTTACTTACAGATATGGGGCAAACCAAATCAGGATAGTTTGTGCTTGCCATAGTTTGCACATGTCCCCCGAAGAGTTTGTTCGTCATGCAAGCGAAGAACCTTCTAATCCCGAAAGTGGCACTGGTATGGCGACGTTTCCAAATGGCAATCCTGCGGCCTCTGCACAGAGCTGATTCTGTACCATGTGTGCAGTATGTTTAACCAAACTAATAAATATCGATAAGTGGTCAGGAAAACCTGGCGATGTTTAGGTATCTTTAACTTATCTCTGTACTTGTGTAGTAATAGCCTTCTTCTACAGTTCCCTCATCTGCTGGAATCTAGTATTTGCAGGTGTATGTAATAATATTCCATCATTATTCCTTTGTGATATTTAAGGCAAGATATTTCAGTTCTACCCTAGTAGTTCTTGAGCAAGGTGTCTTTACTTATAAATTCCTTTTAAACTTGAAGACGATCTTTACAACAGATCATGGAATTTCTGAGTTTTAAGCTCTATGTATTGGAAAATTTGTAGCAGTGTGTCTTCATAGGGGAGAACTTGTGCAAATCATTTGAATTTCTGGTTTTAGATTAAACAGATGGAAAGTTCATAGGTTTAGAGTCAATCCTAAACTAAACAAATATTCGTTGCTTGTGTCCAATAACTATTGGACTTGCCTACTGCCCCACCATCCTCCACGTGCCTTCTTTGGAACACTGGCGGATTTGTTGTGTTTGTGTTTTGTTTCATACAGCTTGGTTTCCCAAATCAGTATCTGGAAAATTGTATTCTTTGGAAAAAATAATAATAATAAATAATAAAATGATGTGCCTGCTTACAACAAATTTACTAGGGATGACAGGGCGTTTCCCTTGCTTCTAGGTCTACGACATTAGCAAATGCTGTTTTTATGGACATGCTTAAATTAAAAAGATTACTTTGAGTCTTTGACAGGGTCGGCAAAGCATTGAAAAATAAAGAAAGCAGCAAGTTGAAATTCTGAATGCTACATGTTATTTAAAAAAAATATTTAGTTTCAGTTTTATTGAACAGAGAGCAAAACCAATCTGAATTTTCTTTTTCTTTTCTTTTTTTCAATGAACTGGTCATCAAATTCAAACCAGTTCAAGGTTGCATGTAGAAAACACAAGTGGTTTAGCTGAGTTAATTTTCATGCCTAATTGATGTCCTAAGCAGTGAGATCACCATAACCTATAATCCTTGACTTTCTGAGCAATGCTAAGCAGCACCTAATGCATGCGGCTTATACGGCTTTGACTTTCATTTGTCTCTCATTAAGAGCCTTGATGGTTTTCATAAGCTCTCTTAATTTAGTCAAATCACAATTAAGCAACTCTCATTTCCCATTAAAAAGCTTGATATTTGATAAGCTAAGCTCTCCAAATGTACTCAAATCACAAAAAAGTAGTCTCATTACTAAAACTCTGAGAAGACGAAGCAAATCCAATACAAACAGAAACAGAAACATAGCGGGGGCAGATTACCTGCGAAAAGCTCATAATGTTCTTTGAGGTTTTACCTTAACATGATTGATGCAATGTGGTAGGTGATGCTTATATTACAATGTGGGATGATTACGCAAGAAAAGCCTACAGCCTACCATAAGAAGCAATATTTGTCCACATCCAATTCCTCCTCTCCCCACGTTGTCTTCACTTCTGAAGTCTAAGCCTTAATATATTGCAATATGAAAACGATTTAACAAATCAGGACATACAAGAAGAATCCAACAAAACTGACAAGTCACAAACCAGATTGATATATACCCTTTGAGGAAGAGACTTTAAAAAGTCCATGTATAGCAAACCAATCCTACCCTTTTCCCCTAAATTTTCTGACTTCTTTACAAACTCATATCTGCATATATGTATATATATGTACATACAGTTCTTTTTTTCCTTTACAGAATGCTTTCAAAAGATGATTAGAATTCTGGGCCAGTTTCAAATTTTCAACTTTCCAATGTTTCATTCAAGCTTGATTATTTCGATTCTCGGCTGTGTGGTCTTCCATGTTGAAGCACAAACCTCAGGGCCAAATTTTCCTTCTGATGATGAACAGTCCAATTTTGAACCAAGTGTTGCTGTGGTTATTGGTATTCTCGCTATCATGTTTGCGTTAACTTTTGTTCTCCTTGTCTATGCCAAGTTCTGCCATGGAAGAGCTTATGTTGGTGGCAACAATCACCAAAGAACAGGAGTTATCAGCACAAGCTCTAGATTTTCCGGTATTGACAAGACAGTGATTGAGGCACTTCCTTTTTTCAGATTCTCCTCTCTTAGAGGGTCAAAGGAAGGTCTTGAATGTGCAGTCTGCCTATCCAAATTTGAAGATATTGAAGTTCTCAGATTGCTGCCCAAATGCAAACATGCTTTTCACATTAGCTGCATTGATCACTGGCTGGAAAAGCACTCAAGCTGTCCTCTGTGCAGGCACAGAATTGGTTCTGAGGACCTAACGTTCATTACCTACTCAGATAGCATGAGGGTCTTGTGGAATAGCCAATCAGAACATCGACAAGACTCGAACATAGAGCTCTTTGTTCAGAGAGAGGAAGATTGCCGCAGTTCTTCAAGGTTCAGCATAGGAAGCAGCTTTCGGAAAACTGAAAAGGCTGTTGATAAAGAAGAGGAATTGCTAATCCAAGAAGAAGTTCCTGATATGTCAAGGGAGGATCAGAAAATCCTGCACAAGCACAAACACAAAATTGTTGTGTCTGATCTTGAGTTTAAGAACAGATGGAGCAATGTGAGTTCCTCTGACCTCATGTTCCTAAATTCTGAGATGCTTAACACAATGTCAAGCAATAGATTCTCTTCCGCACATTTAAATCATGAGCCTGCAACAGCAACGGGAAATGAGGAGATTATGAAGATTAGGGAGGAGATGGAGATGAAAAGATTGTTTGAGAATAAAGTTAGTACAATGAACAAAAATGCTTCAGCTTCAAGCCCAACTTTTCCTTCCACATCAGATTACATAGCAACTTCAGCTCATGCCTCAAGGACTATGAATCAAGGTGAGAAAAGATCAATGTCAGAAATCACTGCTCTTTCAAGATTTGGGAATTTGGGTTTTAAGTACAGGAATAAGGAGCCTTCTCTGCTTGAAAACAATGTGAAGGAGGAAAGAATGAGGCGGCTTTGGTTGCCGATTGCCCGAAGAACAGTCCAGTGGTTTGCCAACAGAGAGAAAAGGACTCAACAGCCTTTAGATGTATAATATGGATCAATGCTTCCCTAGAATGTGGAATGTTCTTTTCATGGAAGCATTAAAGTTCATAGATTTTAGGCAGTTTGCTTAAAAATTCAAGAGGAACAGACACACACACACACTTTGAAAACTGTTTTTTTTATGAATTCTTTGGCCAATAGCTATACATGTCAATAGAATTTTCTTATCAAATTCCAAAAACCAACTTCTTTAATCAATCTAATTGTATGTTGTTGTTTGCTTTCCTCTTTGCCAAGAAAGGAACATAGGCGACAGCAAGTCATTACTAAAATTCTGAAAAGACAAAGCAATCCAATTATCAAACTGAAACATAAGGGGGAGAAATTACCTGTGAAAACCTCATAACCAAAATTTTCAATTTCTTTAACCAGGTTTCACTTTGTGTACTTGGTATATATGAAAGCATTAGTTTAATATGGTTTATCTTAACATGATTGATGTCATACGGCAGCTGCTGCTTATATTATCATAATGTAGGATGATTACGCAAGAAACGCCTATCGCCTACCATAAGAAGCCATGTATTGTCTACATGCAATAAATCCTCTCTCACCTCTTCATCACTTCTTAAGTATAAATTACCTTACCACGCCGCAGTATAAAAATGATTTATCAAATTGGGATGGAACACACAAGAACAACCCCAGAAGAAACCAAAAAAACTATTTTTATTATTATTTATATTTATTGAGGAAGAGACATTAAAAAGTCCATGCATAGCAAACCCATCCTCACCCTTTTCCCCTAAACTTCAAGTTCTCCCACAAACATATATCTATATATGTATTATAATTTCTTTTTGTCTTTACAGAATGCTTCTTAGGATGATTAAAATTTTGGGTCAGTTCCAAGATTTCAATCTTCCAATGTTTCACTCAAGCTTGATTGTTTTACTTCTCAATTGTGTAGTCTTCCATGTTGAAGCACAATCCTTAGGCAGCAGCACAGATACTAATGAGGAACAATCTAGTTATCAACCAGGTGTTCATATGGTTATTGGTGTTCTCTCTATCATGTTTGCACTAACTTTTACTCTCCTTGTCTATGCTAAACACTGCCATAGAGAAGCTCCTGTTTATGGAAACAATCACACGGGAACAAGACTTATCAGCACAAGCTCTCGATTTTCCGGTATTGACAAGACAGTGATTGAGGCACTTCCTTTTTTCAGATTCTCCTCTCTTAAAGGGTCAAAGGAAGGTCTTGAATGTTCAGTCTGCCTGTCAAAATTCGAAGATATTGAAGTTCTCAGATTGCTGCCCAAATGCAAACATGCTTTTCACATTAGCTGCATTGATCACTGGCTGGAAAAGCACTCAAGCTGTCCTCTGTGCAGGCACAAGGTTAGTTCTGAGGACCTAACATTCATTACCTACTCAAATAGCATGAGGTTCTTGTGGAATAACCAATCAGAGCATCGACAAGACTCGAACATAGAGCTCTTTGTTCAGAGAGAGGAAGAGCATCGTGGTTCTTCAAGATTCAGCATAGGAGGCAGCTTTCGAAAATCCGAAAAGGTTGTTGATAAGGAAGAGGAAATGTTAATCCAAGAAGAAGCTGGTGATGAGACAGAGGAGGGTCAGAAAATCCTGCACAAGCACAAACACAAAATTGTTGTATCTGACTTTGAGTTTAAGAACAGATGGAGCAATGTGAGCTCCTCTGACCTCATGTTCCTGAACTCAGAGATGCTTAACACAATGTCAAGCAGCAGATTCTCTTCCGCACATTTTACTGATGTGAAGTTTTCAACTGCGGAAACAACAGGAAATGAGGAGATTATGAAGATTAGGGAGGAGATGGGGATGAAAAGATTGTTTGAGAACAAAGTGATTACAATGAACAAAAACAGTTCAGCTTCAAACCCAATTTTACCTTCTGCATCAGATAGCATAGCAACTTCAGCTGATGCCTCAAGTTCTATGAATCCAGGTGAGAAAAGATCAATGTCAGAAATCACTGCTCTTTCAAGATTTGGGAATTTGGGTTTTAAGAACAGGACCAGGGAGCCTTCTTTGCTTGAAAACAATGTGAAAGAGGAAAGGAGGAGGAGGCTTTGGTTGCCAATTGCCAGAAGAACAGTCCAGTGGTTTGCCAACAGAGAGAAAAGGCCTCAACAGCCTTTAGATGTGTAACATGGATCAATGGAAGCTTTAAGTTTCATAAGTTTTAGGTGGTTTTTGTTTATAAGTGCAAGAGGAACAGACACACACTTTGAATTTAACACTGTTTCATTTATGAATTCCTTAGTGAGCATTTTGAATTCTTAAGGATAATATCTTTCTTATCAAATTTCAAATACCAACTTCTTGAATCAATGTAATGATACATTGCTGTTTGCTTTCTTCTTTGCCAAGAAAGGAAGGAACTTTGGTCACAGAAAGTGATTGCCAATTTGGCTTCATGAAAATAACTCATTCTAATTTTCCCTCATTTTTTAACGATTAATTCTTGGAATATCTTTATATCCATGATGAAATCATGAAGAAATTATAGGAAAACCAGTAGACTCCTAAAGCTTCAAGTTATGTTAGGAAATGGGCAATGTATACCTAACTAGCATTAAATTTATCTGCAGTTGACTTGACAGATTTATAAATTTACAGTTCCCACATTTTAAAGCTAAATTATTTACCATATTTTAAAACATAGCTATCTAATTACCTGTAGGAATATGTCATGCATAATAATTTAAAAATAGGAGGATCATGCTCTTTGAAACCATCGAAATAAAACTTTCATCGGTCTGTTATCTTTTTTTTTTATAAGTCAATCACCGGAATCTTGACATAAAAAATTTCCAAACCTATCTAAGCCGCTAGCGTAAGAGTTGTAATATTATAATTTATCACCGCTGTGGTATTGACGTAAGAGCTGAGCCTGCTTTATCTGTCTTCAAGGAAACCATCCATGAATTAACTTTGCATGTTTATGTAAATTAATTATTTGTTTTGTTTTTATATTTTTTTTGTCCTTACAAGTTACAAGTTGGCTAGATACCCCATAATTAATATTTTTATATATATTTTTCTGCAATTTTTGTTAAAAAAATAATGGTAGTTGACTCGATCTAATGTTGTTCGTGTCTAATTCGTTCATTAGTTTAAGATTTATTATGATGGTTGTTATAGTACTTGGATTAAATTATTATGTGGAGTAGGTTCTCTCTTCTCCATGTCATTATATAATTTGTAAAACATATCAAGGAAAGTATAAGCCAATGGGTCTAGCCCAACGGCATCATAGTTGTGTGTACGCGAAATCTCTCTTCTTTCTAGTTTAGACTATTACTTGTACTAAAATAATAATAATAAATATTAAGCAAATTTGGCAAAATTTTAAAACTAATTATAAAAAAAACATAATAAAAGTTAACCCATTTTGAAGTGAGGAAATTTTCTTGATGATTGTTGCAGACCAACATTTGGCAGCTCCTTTTAATAATAAATTGCAGATTTCCTTCACTGCAAAATGTTGGTTCCATGTGGAGCTCCAAGTGGCACTTGCACCATTGAAGCAAGTTCATGGACAGAGTGGAAAGAAAGATTACAGCTAAGGGTTTGAAAGTTGGATTTGGTAAGCAAGCAGCATTAGCTCCACATTGAGGGCTTGGGACCACTTCGCTGGGCCTCCTATGAATGTAGGCAAATATAATTTGGTTGACCAAACTAACTTATTATTAGGAATAGGCCTGCACTGAAACTATGCAATAATTGACAAAGAATATGACCCTAGCAATGTCAAAAGCAAATTGAACAAGCAAATCATTAGAGAAGATGTGAGAGGAAGATATAAATTTTGCTGGAGACCAATCAGTAAGGATTTCCATAAACCAGAGCTCAAGTATTTACAACATAAAAGAAAATGGTACAAGAGAGTTTGAATAGTAAACGATAAGAATAACGGATGATAGAAACTCGAGTAGCCACTTGGCTAAGTCAATCAAATTTCTGTAGCTGCTATTACAGAAGTAGAGTGGAAAGGTATAATATCATCAAGGAAGGAGCCCCTATTCATCTTCACATATATGTATTTACAGTGGAGGGAGATTCACCAAAATCAAAAGAAAAAGGAAGAGAAAAATCTATGCGCCGACCTCTCCACTGAACTAGTCAAAAGGCTAATTAGCAGCAGCTTGTCACAAGATATATATACTCTTCTAATGCTACTATATATAATTGGGTAAAATATAACGGGACCATAAGTGAGTTTCAGGCTCAGTCTCAGGCTTGTAACTCCTGCATTTCTTTCCTCGATTGATTTTGTATGTCCTCAGTGGGTTCTTGTTGTTCAGCAAAGGTGTGAGTCAAATCTCACAGCAGCAAAGAAAGTCCACCTGCAAAATTGTTTACAAAGGTGGAAAATCCTGTATTTTTCATCCTACTACCAGTCATCAAACCATTCAGGATTGTCAAGTTCTTCTGCATTTCGAGACGGAGAAGCTAGAGGAACAGAAGAACAGTCCTCCGAGTGACTTTCCAAATGTTGAGTTATACGAGAGGTGATCTCATGAGGAACGGGAAAACTACAGTCTCTTATCCCTTTCCAATCAATACCGTCAAACCAGGGATGCCTTTTGACAGAATCATAACCTTGGCCTCCCAGTCTTGTGTCTTCATCAACGTCAAGTAACTGAACATATTATTAAAATTAAAAGTACGCATATGAAATTTCCTTATCAGAAAGGGAGAGACAGAGAAATGATTAAACGATTCGTGCAATACCTTAGTGATGAGATCAACAACTTCAGGACTAAAAGTTTGCGGGATACTTAGCTGTCCCTTTGCAATCTTTGCAAATGTATCAAGCTCACTTTCTCTCCATGACCCAAATGGCATTTCACCCCGTAGCATGAAATATATCAAGACTCCCAATGCCCACCTGAAAATTTGCAAACAAATTCAGGACTGCAAAGGGTCTCAAAACAATACTGTGAAGACAATAATAAAATAAAATAGCATAAAATAGAAGAAAGAAAACAACCACAAATATACAACTTAGAGTCTGAATCCTAAGCCTTCAATAATTTCTGTCGAGCATATATTCTCATAAATCTCACAATTACACTAAGGTCTGGCAGCATATATTCTTCCAATAACATTTA